AAAAAAAAAAAAAAAAGTAAAGTGTTACTTTATAGTAGTTTCCCTTCATTTGTTTTTGTTCATTTTTTGTTTGGAATAACATTATGTCCAAATGTCTAGATATTGTTTCATCACCATGTTTGGAAATAAAGAAATGTTTGTACCTCTTTGAATTTCTCCTAATTACAGCCAGCTGCTTCCCACAGGGTTGTCCCTCAATATAGAAAAGCACACCCCACACCACTGGCTGCTCAAGCCTGATCTGGGCCTCACTGTCCTCCTTTGGGCAGAAGGCTGCCAGGCCATCCCAGGCCTCTACTGGAGCCCACCTCTGCCAGGGGTGGCTACAGAAGCTGCACCCTTGACAGCCATCCCAGCCAGTCTTTGATGAGCACTGGGAGCACAGGACTGTTTCTGGGCTGACTGCCTTTGACTTGGCCTGTGGCCCCCAGACACCACAGTGAACAACAGGGTGACCTCAAGGGCCTGCTTTCCTACCACCTATGCCCATTTGGCCCCACATGCTACTTTCGGCACCAGTGTTCCTTTAGCCCTGGGTACTCACTGCCCAGACTCTCAGAGGACAGGAAGGACTAAGTTCTCTGATCCTATAGGCAGGACAGGCCTTTGCCAGCTGGAGGAGGTTTGTTGCCTTTGGGGTTTATGGGTCTGGGCTGCTTGCCCTTGACACCCCCAATCTCACTGGCTGCAGAGGCCATGGTCGCTTGTTTATAAGGGACAGGTGGCTTGGAGTAGACCCAGTGGCCATCTGTGACTATATGCTTCCTGGAGGACAGGCTCCACACTCAAGACATGACTGGCAAGGTGGATTTCAGGGTCACAGATGCCCCCAACCGCTCCCTGCCATGTGTGTCTCCCACTCTGCCATCCGCAGCTCCACCTTCAGGAAGGCTGAGGGCCCAGGTGTGCGTACCTCCTGTCCTAGTGCACAATGTGCAACAGAGCTCTGCACGGAGCAGGCTCACAGCAGTTCTGTGAGATCAGCCCCGATGGCTGCAAACCAGGAAGCCAGGCCTTGTCCAGGCTCAGGCAGGCACCATCTGGAGGTGCAGGCCACTTCCTGCCACTACCAGGCTCACCTGCTGTGCTCCTCCAGAGTTCAGGGAAGGCAGCCCTCTGGAGTGGTGCCCCAGGAAGTGCTGTGTGCCAACCCAGGCAAACATTCAGCCCTGCCCTGCTGGGACCACAGCCTGGGACCTTGCCTATGTGCAGCACCGGTTTCCACTGTCCCCACCCCAGGAACAATAGCCAGGGCCATTTGGTCTCTGTGAGCACCTGGGGTGCCCCAACACGGCCAGGGCCCAGGACTCCTCTGCCCACCAGGCAATAGTATTGCCATATCTGCTGCACGTTGGTTCTGAGTGGTCACCACAAGGGGGAGGGCAAGGCTGTCCTAGGAGCCAGGCAGGAAAAGGAGACCAGACCAGTTGCCCTTCCACAGGTGGAGGTTGGAGTCTGGGCCTGACCAGGGGATGCTGCAACAAGAGTGTCCTAAAAGGGCATGAAAGGACAGCCTGGGCCACAGGTGTCCCCACCCTCCCACCAGACACCCTCACGCCTCGGGGTGTGCTGGGCTGAACAAAGAGATTCTAGGAGCCCCAAGATGGTGCAGGAGGGAGCTCAGTTTCATGGGTTTCTGGTGGCCAGTACCACTCACAGACTGAAGCCACTTCAGAGACCAGCACCTGAGGCTTAGAGGACACCAGGCAGGGGGGAGGCTTAGCCATCCTGGAGCTGCCCCAGCAGGAGGGCAGGCCCAGACCCCAGCGGCTGCTGGGAGGCAGCAGGGGAGGCCTTCTGCCAGGCTCAGGTGTCTGAGTCCTAGGGATGGGACCTGCGAAGGGCCCACCAAGTGAGAATTGGAGACTGTAGGGAACACTGGGAGGGTGGAGCCCTGGTGAAGGCAGGGTGGGGCGAAGTGGGCCCGGGCCCGCAGGGGCGGGGCGCCTGGGTCGTGCCTGCCCCCGCCCTCTCTGCCCCCTCCGCCCCACTCTCGAGTGACTGTGCAACCTGCCGCTCAGGTTCCTTCTCGCCCTGCCCCGCCCCGGCCATCCTGGCCCGGCCCCCGCTGGGCAGCTAGTTCCCGCGCGTCCCTCCCGCCTGCGGGAGACTAGGCGCCGCGGCTGAGGCACACAGACGGCCGCGGACGACCGCCGAGGGGACGGGCCGTGGCACGGGGCGCAGGCCGCCGAGGACAGGTGAGCGCCGCGGCCGAGGAGCGGACGCGAGGAGCTCGCCCGCCCGGGGTTCAGTTTACCCGGTGGCGATAGGACGCGGGGCTCTGGTCCACAATTCTGAGGCTGGGTGCAGGGTAGAAGGCTTAAGGGACAAGGGGCAGGGGACGCAGCGGGGAGGAGGCTGAGCCAGCCTATGGCCTTCCCAGGGCTCGTGGCTCAAAGGCCGTCTGGCCCCGGCCTGGCCTGCCTCGTTGGTCCTGGGGGTGGCCGTGTGAGGGGGTGTTTTCAAGCCAGTGTGTGACTCACCCAACCCCAGTCTGCCTCCTCCCAGCCTTCAGGCTCAGTGGGGAGAATCCCTCCATCCCAGAATGGAGGTGACAGGAGGATTCCCTGGCTCCTGCAGGTGGGCTGGGCCCTCCTTGAGAGCCTGACCCTGGAGGTGAGCAAGGCAAGCTGACCCTGTAGTCAGCTGTCAGGAGGCACTTCCTGGGTGTTCAGGTAGGAGGAAATCCATCCCCAGGGAAGAACCCGACTGGGGTTGGTCTCCAGGTCAAGGCTGGGGCGTGGGAGTTTCAGAGGGAGGGGAGGCTGAGGGTGGAGCGGCAGGGCCAGGTGTGGGGGCATCCAGCCCACAGCCCCTCAGTTTTCTGGTCCCTGGGCCAGGCTGGCCTGGGGCAACCCCTTTGCATGGGGGTGTCCCTGAAGGCAGGTCTCCTCGAGCTTCTCTAACCGCCCCGCCACCCCTGTGTGCAGGGAGACGGGGCTCTGCTCCCTACCCGGGCCCTGTGGGCCCGGTGCTCCTCCTGGTCTTCTCTGCCTGCCCCCGCCTCCCGCAGTATGCCATCCTCCCCACCCACAGTTTCCCAGGTTCCTCCCACCCTCAACCATAACAGCCAGACCAGGTCACACCCAGGGCCTGAGGGGGGTCCCTGTTCAGGGGCCCTACCCAGCTCCAATGAGGGCAGCCAGGAGTCCCAGTGACTCAGCTCCCCCCAAGGTCACTTATGGCATGCAGCTGGAACTTGAACTTGGCCCTTCCTGCCCTGCTGGGGCCACCCCTCCTGGGCCTGACTGACCGGGCACCTGCGTGGGCCTCCCCTCACACTCGGAAAATGGCCACAGTAAACCAAAGTGCAGCCTGGGCCCCAGGGTCCCCAGGGCCTAGCCCCACCCACTGGCTCACATGGCTTTCTGCCCAGTCAGCTGAAGAAGCCCCCTATCCGCTGAGGCCCCTACAGGCCTGGAGGTGGCCCCTTCCCAGGTGCCAGCACCCACTCCCCGGGTGAGCTGAAAGCCCAGGCATTCCCAGCTCCTAGAGGTCCCCAAGGGGAGGGGTTGCATGTCACAGCCTGCGCGTGTCTGCGTGTGCCCACAGGTCCAGGTGCGCGTGCGCTGGACACACATGCTTGTGCCCTCTGTTGGGCCCGCCTGGAATCCCATTAGCAAACACTCAGGCTCACTCAGTGGGGTCACAAACATTCCGGACATTCTCCACGGAGAGATGGACAGAGGAATCTGGCCAAGTCCTTGCTGGCGAGCCAGGACCCTTGGTGGCATTCGAAGGGGCAGGCAGCAACAGCCAAGCCAAGGAATGCCCCCTGGGCCCCTGGACCTCCACACCTCCAGAGGTGCTTCCTCAGCCCAATACCCCTGGCAGACCCAGACTCTGAAGCCACAGGGGGATGGCCTCTGACCATGCCTGGCAGGAGGTAGATGGTATGGATCTGGACCCCAGTGCCCTCCCGTGGGAGCTGGCCACAGAGCCACTGAAGGACAGCCAAGGATGCCTGTCTAGGGACATGGGGGCTGCTCCAGCAGCCAAGTCTTAGTTTCCCAAAATGCAGTTGGGGAGAGGTCAGGGTTGGACCCAGAGACAGGCTCTGGGACTCTGCCCCTGGAGAGGCCTTATGAGATGGTGGTCATCCAGGGTCTGCCAAGGAGGTGGTCATACCAGTGCTAGTGCCTCTGGGCCAAGCTCCAGCCTGCCTCTGACCCATACTCACACTCTCCATACTTCCCTCAGCCCACCCCGATGGGACGCGGGGCTCTGGTCCACAATTCTGAGGCTGGGTGCAGGGCAGAAGGCTTAAGGGGCAAGGGGCAGGGGACGCAGCGGGGAGGAGGCTGAGCTCCTTCTCTGGGCCACCTGGCCAAACCCTCCCTTGGGGTCAGGAGACACTGCCCCCCAAACTGCCCTCTGGAGACCCAGGATGCCTGCCCACATAGCCTCTTCCTGACTCGGCCTCCTGGGCTGGGAGGGAGCCAGGGGCCAGCCTCTTTGCTGGGGCTGGACAGAGCTGACATGCAGGGAGGCGTACCCACACGCCTGTGCCAGAGCCCTTTGCAGGGTGGGCTTTAGGGTGGGCTGGAGGCTAGGCTCCCCTGGACCTGGTGCCATCCTGGGCCTAAGCCTTAGCTCTCCTGTCATCCTCCTGTACCACCACCTTTGAGCCTTTGAACATGCTCTTTCTCCCCCAAACCCCTCTTCAGATGCCCTCAGACAGCCTCGGGAGGTGCCCGGTAGAAGGCCAAGGGTTGGGGGCAAGATGGGACTGCAGGGACTGCCAGCTGGACATGGGGCACAGGACAGGGGCCTCAGCTTCCTGGGGAACCTCTCCCCAGGCCAGGCCAGTCAGGCTCTGGCCCCTCGATCTGGGGCAAAGGGAGGAGGCCCAAGCCCTGCCCTGGGAGTAGCCAGGCCACAGGCAAGGCCTGGAAGAAGTGTCAGCTCACCACCTGTGTCCACCCAGGTGCTGACTGCCACCACCAAGGACACCATGAGCCAGTTGGGGTCTGTAAGCTGCTGCCCGGGTGCTGCCAAGTGAGTCCCCCTGCCCACCCCTCACCCCTCTAGCAGTCCCTAGGGAGAGGTGTGGCATGAGCTCCACCCTCACCAGCACTCCTCCACAGTGGCAGCCTGGGCCGGTCAGACGGTGTGGCCAAGATGAGCCCCAAGGACCTGTTTGGTGAGTGAGGTTTGCAGACAGGCTGGATACAACAGGGGAGAGGGCCCACCGCTTTGGCGGGGAAGAACAGCACCCCCATTCCCAAGGCCGTGCCAAGCCCTGACCGGGTAGCTCGGCTGGTGGGAGACCCAGGCAGCCCTGGGTGCCCAGAGGAGATCTCTGGGCCCACATCCACCTACAGCTTCATAGGTCCTTCCCCAAACTCCTGGCCACTGCGTCCCCTCCCCCACACTGGTAAGGGGAGACGCCTTTACTAATAATTCAGGGAGCATTAATATTGATTCATCACCCTCCTTGCAGCAACCTGATCGCAGAGGGGGGCGGGGGCTCAGGCTAACCCAGCTGCCAGGTGTCTGCTCCAGGAGAGAAGAGCCTGGCCAGCCCCTCCACCCAGTTCTGTACTCCCTGACACTCCTCCTAGGACTGCCCCCAGCCTGGACCACTCCCCTCATTGGTGCTTTGGGCACCCGGACTGGAAAGAAGAAGCCTTGTGAGGGCTGGGGAGATTTTAGCTGGCAGTTCATGGGGTGGGAAGACACTCTGGCCCAGGGCCCTCCCTTTGGAAGGTGGAAGCCTCTGGCCCCCAACCCTCTGGGATGGACATCCCTGTCACAGGCTGCCTCATCACCTAAGCAAACCCCTGGCCCTCTCTGAGCTTGGGTCCTTTGCCCAGGGAGCCATCCTGGGCAGAGGGAAAGGGCTTCCTGTAGACTCTCACTGTGCCCAGGAGGGGCCTCACCAAGTTTTACCCCTGGCTCTTCCCTGTGGCCCCACCTCGTGGGTCCCATCCTCTGGGGGTGATTGACTGGCACCTCCCGTTCAGAGCAGAGGAAGAAGTATTCCAACTCCAATGTCATCATGAACGAGACCTCCCAGTACCATGTCCAGGTGAGGCCCACCCCAGGGGCACCCCCTTTACACCACAGCCCTGTCCTCCCTGCTCCAAAATCCTAGAGCACTGACCCTGGGGAGAGTGTTGAGTCCAGGTTCTAATCCATAGGGGCCAGAAGGGAGCCAGAGCCTGGGACTGGCCCCATGCCTATCCTGGCACAGGGGTTGGGGATAGCCCCTTCTAATCCTGGGAGCTCAGGTCTGGGGGCTATAGGGAGTCCTGCCTAGGGCGTGCTGGGGGTACATCCCAGTGCCCACGGCCACACAGCTATGATGGGAAGGGCTAGTGGGAAGGAAATTGTCATACTGGCCCCAAAACAGGGAACTGGATTAGAAAACAGGTGAAACAAAGACGCCCTTTGTTGAGCACTGCACAGGGGGCCTTGGAGGGCAAATTGTGAGAAGCTGGACTTGGTCACCTGCCCTCAGTGGACCAGCTGCCAGCTTGGGAAGGTTTCCTCTAGGTCAGTTTTAATTTCCACGTAGAACTCAGTAATAGGTTTTTAAAATGACCTTCCAGGCCAGCCAGGGTGGCGCCTATGGTCCCAGCTACTCTGGAGGCCAAGGTGGGAGGATCACTGGAACCCAGGAGTCCTGGGCAGCAGGGGTGAAGGACAGCCTGTCTCTTAAATAAAAAGAAACAAGACCGTCCTGTCCTGGGAGCTGGCTGGCTTCCCACAGGATGAGAAAGGGGGAGGCAAGGGGAGCCTGTAATGTAGGCCCTGAGTGGGGAGGCCGCCTGTCACTGCCAGGCCCACTGTAGCCTGCTGTGCTTCTGGTCCCAATCACTTCTCCCACTTCACCCAGGGTGCATACTGCAAAGGTGAGCAAGGCGCTGTTCTTTGAGCCCTAGTTTCTCTGTCTATAGAATAGGTCCTGAGAACACACGGACTCCCTAAGGCTTTTGAATTGGGCTGTGTTTTGTGACCAAGGCTCTCCTGGCCAGCCTGGGCAGTAGTGACTGCTACCAGCTGTGTCCAAGGGCAGGGCATGGAGGGTGGATGGGTCAGCTTTGGCCCCTTTTTTCCAAGCAGATCTGGAGCCTTGCTCAGGTTGGGACTTTGCCCTCCTTGGAGAGGAGCCGCCTCGGACCTCCTAGCCCTTGGACTTTGGTCCAAGCTGGCTTGGCTATTGTGAAAGGCCCATGGCCAGGGGAGCTTTTCCTGCTGCCCAATGACCAACAAGGGTAAAGGAGAGGGTGGGGCCTTCCTGCCCCTCCCAGAGGAGGAAACTGAGGCCCAGACAGAGGATGAGAATCTGGGAGACGTCCCTCCAGCCAAGCGAGGGCAAGGTCACCCCACCCTTATCAGGGGGACCACTGGAGCCCGCTTGTTTACTTCTGTCTGGATTATCAGATAACAAAGTTGATGTGTGGGGCGATCAGCTCTCCCACCCCACAGTTAGCCTCATCACCCCATACTCCTTTGTGAGTCCTTTTGTGGGTACAGGTCCCCAGCCCAACAACCTCCAGCAATGATATCTGTCTTCCATCATCACAGTTTTGTCTTTTGAAGTATATCCCGTAAATAAAATCGTACAGCTCCTTGTTCTTCTGCTTCTTCAGCCTATTTTAAAAAGACATCACATGGAATAAGGCCCCTCAGTCGTGCAGGGCACACAGCCCCTCTCCAGGACTGTGTCCAGTAAGGCCTGTCTCCCTGCACACCCATAGGGCTGTGGTCCTCACTGATGGGGAGAGCTGGGTGTGTGAGTTGGCAGTATATTCTCTCAGTCTGTAGCTGGTCACGTCACCTCCGTAACTTTTTTTTTTCTGAGACAGAGTCTCACTCTGTATGCTGGGTAGAGTGCTGTGATGTCATAACTCACAGCAAACTCAAACTCCTGGGCTCAAGTGATCCTCCTGCCTCCTCCCGCCTCTACCCGTCAAGTAGCTGGGACTACAGATGCCTTCCACCTGACTAGTTTTCTATTTTTAGTAGAGAATGTGTCACTCTTGCTCAGGCTGATCTTGAACTCCTGAGCTCAAGAAATCCACCCTCCTTGGCCTGGCCTCTCAGAGTGCTGGGATTACAAGTGTGAGCCCCCACACCTATTTGATGACTATCTTTTGACAAGCAGAAATGTATAAACGATATCCAATCTTACCTACTTTTTTTTTTTGACCGGGGTCAGGTTTGAACCCACCACCTCAAGCATATAGGGCAGGCACCCTACTCTTTTGAGCCACAGGCGCCGCTCCCCACTTTTTTTTTTATTATTATTCTTTTATGGGTTTTGGTCTCCTAAAATGTTATTGCCTGACCAAGGCTCTGGAGATTTCTTCCTGTTTCTTTTGTTTGTTTGAGGATTTTTTTTTTTTTTTGAGATAGAGTCTCACTATGTTGCTCTTAGTAGAGTGCTATGGCATCGCAGCTCATAGCAATTTCAAACTCTTGGGATGAAGTGATTCTCTTGTAGCTGGGACTACAGGCGCCCACCACAATGCCTGGCTATTTTTTTGTGGCAGTTGCCATTGTTGTTTTAGCTGGCCCGAGTGGGTTCGAACCTGCCACCTTCAGTGTATGTAGCTTGTACTGTAACCACTGTGCTACAGGCGCCGAGCCTGTTTTGAGATTTTTTTTTTTTTTTTTTTTTTTGAGACAGAGTATTGCTTGCTGTCCAGGCTGAAGTGCAGTGGCATCAACACAACCCACTGCAACCCCAAATTTATGGGCTCAAGTAGTCCTCCTGCCTCTGCCTCCCAAGTAGCTGGGACTACAGGTGTGTGCCACTGTGTCCAGCTAATTTTTCTGTATTTCATAAAGACAGAGTCTCACTTTGTTGCTCAAGATAATCTTGAACTCCTGACCTCAATGGATTCTCCTGCCTCAGCCTCCAAAAGTGCTGGGATTATAGGTGCACGCTTACCACCTCTAGCTCCTGCTAGAATTGTGATTGGCATTGAGTCAAACCTGTGAATCAGTTTAAGGAGCGTTAACATCCTAAAAATAGCGAGCCTTCCCATCCATGAAGGTGGTATCTCTCTGGTTACTAGGTCTTCTTTAATTTTTTTCAACAGATTTTGTGGTTTTCATTATAGAAGTATCACTATCTTCTTTTACTTTATTCCTTAAATATGTGCTTTTTATGCTGTTGTAAATTGCATTATTTTATTGTTTTTTAAATTTCATTTTCCAATTGTCTGTTGCTAGCAAAAACAATTGAATTTTTGTATGGTGGTCAAGTGCCCAAAGACCTTATTGATAGTACTAACTTAGACAGATTGGATTTTCTACATATCTAAACGTAATGTCTGAGAATGCAGACAGTTCTTTATTTCTTACTTTTACACTTATTTTCTAGCCTTACTGCCCTAGCTAGGACCACAAGTACAAAGCTGACTGACAGTAAGGAGAATGGATATCCCCTGCTTGTGTCCAATCTTGAAATATTCAGTAGTCTGTGGGCTGCGTGTCTCCTAGATGTTCTTTACAAGATCAAGGAAGTTCCCGCCCACTCTTTGCTGAAGGTTTTTTTGTTTTGGGGGGAGTTTTGCAGTTTTAGCCCAGGGCTGGGTTGGAACCCACCACCCCCAGTATATGGGGCCGGCGCCCTACTCCTTGAGCCACAGGTGCCACCTTGCTGCAAGGTTTTTATCTCAAAAGGTACTGAATTTTGTCAAGTGCTTTTTCTGAATCTACTGAGGTTTATTCATTGCTGTTAATTTTGTGAGTCATACTGACTGATTTTTTTTTTTAATTGTTGGGGCTTACTGATTTTTTTTTTTTTTTTTTTTTGGCCAGGGCTGGGTTTGAAACCACCACCTCTGGTATATGGGGCCAGCGCCCTATTCCTTTGAGGCACAGGTGCCGCCCTACTGTTTTGTTTTTTTGTTGTTGTTTTTTTTTTTGAGACAGAGCCTCAAGCTATCCCCCTGGGTAGAGCGCCATGGCATCACAGCTCACAGCAACCTCCAACTCCTGGGCTCAAGCGAGTCTCCTGCCTCTGCCTCCCAAGTAGCTGGGACCACAGGCGCCCGCCACAACGCCCAGCTATTTTTTGGTTGCAGCCATCATTGTTGTTTGGCGGGCCCGGGCTGGGGATTCAAACCCGCCACCTTAGGTGTATGTGGCTGGCACCTTAGCCGCTTGAGCCACAGGCGCCAAGCCTAGTTATCTTTTATTATTGATTTATACTTTAATTCCATTAGGGTCAGAAAACGTACTCTCATACTCTGTTTAGCAAAGCTTGTTTTGTGGCCCAGCACCATGGTCTTGTGTGGCTGGCTGTGCTTCACTAACAGTGTGTGGTTCAGGTTTTACTGTGCCTCACACACACAGATCAGCAGCTGCACAACCTGTCCTACGTTCCTCCACATATCCGCTATCCTCCAGTCTGTTGACGGGCTTGGAGGCCGGGCCCGTCGTATTGTCACAAACCCTTCTGCCCTGAGCAGCCTGGGCCATGTCCCCCACATGCACGGAGAGGGTCCTGCCCTTCCAGTGGGAGGGAAGGTATGTGTGTGGCGACAGGTGTTCCTAGCTACTCCCAAGAGAGGCTGCCTGGGTGAGAGGGTGCCAGATGAGATAATGCCCGTTTCTCCATCTCTTAACTCTGAAAGTGTAGCCCACAGGAGTTTGTGTATTGGTCAGTAGAACAGGTAAAAAAAAATTCATTTCCTAAAATAGTAGAGTTTCAATTTGCAATTCTTCTTTTTCCTTTACTCACCACTATACAAATAAGGATCAACTGGCAGTTCTTTTATTCAATTCAGTTACATACACTTTTCCATATTAAAGTTACTTCTGTTTACTTTTCTGTAGACTTTCTGTTTAATTTTAATGAGGTGTTAATCTTTTTTTGCTTATTTATGTATTCATTCATTTATTCTTGGTATCTTCTTTTTTTTTTTTTTTTTTGAGATGGAGTCTGCCTTTATCACCCTAGCCCTCGGTAGAGTGCCATGGTGTCACAGCTCACAGCAACCTCAAACTCTTGGGCCCAAGTGATTCTCTTGCCTCAGCTTCCCATGTAGCTGAGACTGCAGGTGCTCACCACAATGCCCAGCTAATTTTTCAATTTAGACAGGGTCTTGCTCTTGTTCAGGTTGATCTTGAACTCCTGCACTCAAGCTATCCTCCCTCCTCAGCCTCCCAGAGTACAGGGATTACAGGAGTGAGCCAGATTACAGGAGTGCGCCCAGCTGGTAATTTTTTTTCTTAAGAGACAGAGTCTTACTTTGTTGACTTCTATAGAGTCCTGTGACGTCACAGCTCCCAGCAACCTCCAGCTCTTGGGCTTAGGCCATTCTCTTGACTCAGCCTCCCAAGTAGCTGGGACTACAGGTACCCGCCACAATGCCTGGGCATTTTGTTGTTGTTGTTGTTGTTGCAGTTTGGCCAGGGCCAGGTTCACGCCAGCCACCCTTGGTATATGGGGCCAGCGCCCTCCTCACTGAGCCACAGGTGCCGCCCACCAGCTGGTATTTTTAATTATCACATTAAGAAAATAGAACTTTTAACAAACAGCTGTCATTATAATATATATTGGTCTTTTTCTGTATTAAGCAAATTAATATCTAGGAGGCCAACACAGGTGAATTGCCTGAGCTCCCAGGTTTGAGACCAGCCTGAGCAAAAGTGAGACTCTGTCTCTTAAAATAGCTGGGTATTGTGGTGGGTACCTGTAATCCCAGCTACTTGGGAGGCTGAGACAAGAGAATCACTTGAACCCAAGACTTTGAGGTTGCTGTGAGTTATGACATCATGGCACTCTACCAAGGGCAACAAAGTAAGACTCTGTCTCAAAAAAAAAAAAGAAAGAAAAAAATTTAATATCTCTTACCTCTGTTTTTCCCACTTTCAGTTTTTTCAGTGTGGGTTTTTTTGTTTGTTTGTTTGAAACAGAGTCTCTCTACATCACTCTGGGTAGCGTGCTGTGGCATCACAGCTTACAGAACCCTCAAACTCTTGGGCTTGGCTCGGCGCCTATAGCTCAACCGGCTAAGGCGCCAGCCATGTACACCTAAGGTGGCGGGTTCAAATCCCCAGCCCGGACCCGCCAAACAACAATGACGGCTGCAACCAAAAAATAGCTGGGCGTTGTGGCGGGCGCCTGTGGTCCCAGCTACTTGGGAGGCGGAGGCAGGAGACTCGCTTGAGCCCAGGAGTTGGAGGTTGCTGTGAGCTGTGATGCCATGGCACTCTACCCAGGGGGATAGCTTGAGGCTCTGTCTCAAAAAAAATAAATAAATAAAACTCTTGGGCTTAAGCGATTCTCTTGTCTTAGCCTCCCAAGTAGCTGGGACTACAGCCACCAGCCACAATGCCCAGCTATTTTTTTGTTGCGGTTGTCATTACTGTTTAGCAGGCCTGGGCCTGGGTTCTAACCCACCAGCCTCAGTGTATGTAGCTGACAGTGTAATCACTGTGCTATAGGCACCAAGCCCAGGTGTGGGTTTTTTTTCTTTGTATATGGCATTTTTTTCCCATGCCGAAATTTCAATTATTTTTATCTCAAAATTCACTGATCTTTACTTTTCAGCATCTGGATTTTCTTTCTTGCATAGAAAAGCACCCTTGCTGAGAAGGCCTTGCTGAGATTACCAGTGATCGTCCAATCTTTTCTTCTAGCTCTCCCTTGTCAGGTGTTTTGCACTGAAATCTTTGCCTGTCCTGGAGTTTACGTTAGTGTTCATCCAGCTGTCCAGTGCTGTTCACTGCAGGGCTTCACTCAGTGCATGTCTGGGCAGATATCTGGGGCGGTGAGGAGGCCTGCATGCTCTCCTCTGCAACCACCGGCTGTAACCCGCTGCATACCAGACACTGTCCTGGGTGACCAGAACCCTGGCCTCAGGCAGTGCAACAGGATGCTGGATGAGATAAGAGGAAAGTTGGGCAGGTCAGGGATGTGGTGACAGGTGATGTAGCCAGGTGGCCAGGAAGAGGATTCCTGAGAGGGAAGAGGATGAGCAGGAGACAGGGCAGTGAGTGCACAGGGCGGGAGCCTGAGCTGAGCAGGGTAGGCAGGCAGCAGGCCCAGGGCTAAAAGCAATTTGGAATTTTTTTTGAAAGGTGTTTTGGTTTTGTTTTGTTTTGGTTTGGTTTCGTTTTTCTGAGATACAGTCTCACCCAGGCTGGCATGCTATGGCGTCATAGCTCATAGCAACCTCAAACTCCTGGGTTCAAGTGATCCTGTCTCAGCCTCCCGAGTAGCTAGGACTATAGGCACCTGTCACACCAGCTAATTTTTCTATTTTTAATAGAGACAGGATGTCGCTCTTGCTCAGGCTGATCTTGAATTCCTGAGCTCAAGCAATCCTCTGGCCTGGGTGTCCCAGAATGTTAGGATTACAGGTGTGAGCCACTGCATCCGGCCTGGAAATTTTTCTGAGGGGTTTATCAGGGCACAACCATGACTCCTACAAATGTCCTCCAAGGCAGAATGGGAACTCCCCCACCCAAGGTGGGAATGTATCCCCTTAGAGCCCAACAGGGCTAGCTGTGACCCTCACACCCTCCAGGGCTGGCTGTGACCATCAGGCCCCCAGGCTACGGCTCTCATACCTCCAGGGCCACCTGTGACCTTCCGGCCCCCAGGCTGTACCCCTCACACTCCCCAGGACAGGCTGTGACCCTCAGGCCCCCAGGCTGTACCACTCATACCCCCAGGGCCAGCTGTGACCCTCAGGCCCCCAGGCCGTACCCTTTACACCCCCTAGGGCAGGCTGTGACCCTCAGGCCCCCTGGGCTATGACCCCTTGAACTTGGGCACCCAGAGGGCTCTGCCCAGCAGTGACCACCTGCCTACCCCCAGCACTTGGCCACCTTCATCATGGACAAAAGTGAGGCCATTGTGTCTGTGGATGATGCCATCCGGAAGCTGGTGCAGCTGAGCTCCAAGGAGAAAATCTGGACCCAGGAGATGTTGCTGCAAGTGAATGACCAGTCCCTGCGGCTGTTGGACATTGAGTCTCAGGTGCTCCCCATGGCGTGGGTGGCTGGTGCAGTGCCTGCTGGGCCACTGTGGCCAGCCCTGTGGCTGGGGGCCTCTGTTGGAGCTTCATTGCCCATCATTCTGGCCCAGGGAAGTGGACAGGGAGAGAAGAGGAGGCTGGGACTGGCTCCACGGCACACCTGTGAGGCCCACCCACTTGTGGCTCAGGAGTGTCCAGGGCCATGTCCTTGTCTGTGGGACCTGTCCCTGGCTATCTGAGAAGTCTGCTCCAGGTGCATTGGCCATTCCTCACTGGAGCCATAGGCCCGTCTCACTTTTGGCCCTTTTTTGTGCCTGTGAGTAATGTGCACATCTGTGTCTGGTGAGAACGCCACATGCTGGGCCACAAGTCACATCCACAACCATGGCTGTGTGTCCATTTCTGGGAGCTACCTCTATGATCCATCCCGTGCATGTGGCTCCAGCCCACATTGAGTCCAGGGCCCACGGTGATTGTCAGCTGCATGACGTGTCCTGACCTCCCTTCCCTAGGAGGAGCTAGAGAACTTCCCCCTGCCCACAGTGCAGCACAGCCAAACAGTACTGAACCAGCTTCGATACCCCTCCGTGCTGCTGCTCGTGTGCCAGGACTCAGAGCAAAGCAAGCCTGATGTCCACTTCTTCCACTGCGACGAGGTGGAGGTGAGGGGCACACAGGTGGGGGTGAGGGGCGTACAAGTTGGGGTGAGGGGCGTACAAGTTGGAGTGAGGGGCACACAGGTGGGGTGAGGGGCTGAAGTGGGGGCCCATGAAGTGGAGGTGACAGGTCAAGGTGGAGGCCAGGGGTCACAGGTGGGGGTGAGGGGCCCTGCCCACCCTGCCCCGAGTCTGCCTGATACCCCAGCACCCCCAGGCAGAACTGGTACACGAGGACATCGAGAGTGCGTTGGCTGACTGTCGTCTGGGCAAGAAGATGCGGCCGCAGACTCTGAAGTAGGGCTGGTAGGGGGAAAGGAGGGAAGGGGAAGGGACATGGGCGCCAGGTGGGTAGGAGGGTCAGGTGGCCAGGCTGAGCAGCCCTCACCCTGCAGGGGTCACCAAGAGAAGATCCGGCAGCGGCAGTCCATCCTGCCCCCTACCCAGGGCCCAGCCCCTGTCCCCATCCAGCGCCGTGGAGATTCAGCCAAGAACCGCGTCGGCCCAGCAGCACCGGTGCCACTCAGTGAGCCAAGTAGGCAGGGGATCCGGGGACACCACACAGGGGCCCCATGCAGGGCGCCACAGGTGAGCAGCACCCTGTCTCCCTCAGGCCACTACCGCCAGGAGTCGCTGGATGAGGAGCCGAGGGCTGTGCTGGCTCAGAAGATAGAGAAAGAGACGGTGTGTGCCCCAACGCTGTCCTCTAACTGGGGTGTGCTATCCCCGCGGGGGTGGGGGGATGTCTAAGGCTGACCAGTGACCCCCTCTCATCCCAGCAAATCCTCAATTGTGCCCTGGACGACATTGAGTGGTTCGTGGCCCGGCTTCAGAAGGCAGCAGAAGCTTTCAAGCAGCTGAACCAGCGGAAGAAGGGCAAGAAGAAGGGCAGGAAGGGGCCAGCAGGTGCACTGGGCAGGTGGAGGATGGGAGGACGGTGTGGGCGGAGTGAGTGGAAGGAGCCTCTGGTGGGGAGGAGCCCGGTCATGGATGGGGGTTGTCAGACAGGACAACAGGTGGAGACAGGGGAAGGGCCTTTAGGCTCATGCTGCCTCTACCTCCATGCCAGAGGGCGTCCTCACCCTGCGGGCACGGCCCCCCTCTGAGGGTGAGTTTGTGGACTGTTTCCAGAAAATCAAGCTGGCCATCAACCTGCTGGTGAGCAGCCCCGCCCTGCCCAACCCAACTGTGCTGGGCCCAGGGTAGCTGCCCAGCCGCCCCCACCATCACCTGCTCCCTTGGTCCCTCCCACAGGCAAAGCTGCAGAAACACATCCAGAACCCCAGTGCAGCTGAGCTCGTGCACTTCCTCTTCGGGCCTCTGGACCTGGTACCTGGGGCTAGGACAGCAGGGGCTGGGGGTGGGCAGCCAAGGCCCTGGGAGTGGCTCCCCCAGCTCAGGGTGAGAGAAGCAGGTGCTTACCTTGGGCAACCCAGCTTGGGCTGTGCCTCCATCCCCTGGGAGTCAGAGTCCCTCCTAAGGCCCTGCCTGTGGAGTTGATGGGGGTGAACAGAGGGGCTCACAGGACTCAGCCCCCTGCTGAAACCCCCTGTGCTCCAGATCATTAACACCTGCGGTGGCCCAGACATTGCACGCTCAGTCTCCAGCCCCCTGCTTTCCCGAGATGCTGTGGGCTTCCTGCGAGGCCACCTGGTCCCCAAGGAGATGTCTCTGTGGAAGTCACTGGGGGACACCTGGACTCGGCCCCGGTGCGGCAGGGCGAGTGACGCTGGGGGTGGTGTGTGTGCAGGATGGGGGTTCTGGGGGACTAGGTACGGTGGGGGCAGGGCTGACACCCAGGACCTCTCACCCCAGCTCTGAGTGGCCTCGGGAGCCGCAGGTGCCCCTCTACGTGCCCAAGTTCCACAGTGGCTGGGAGCCACCCCTGGATGTGCTGCAGGAAGCTCCCTGGGAGGTGGAGGGGCTGGTGCCTGCCCCCGACGTTGAGGTCAGTGTACCAGCAACCCAGTTCCCACCCTCCACCAGAGCTCACCAACTCATGCCACCTGTATCCCCCTCCCCAGCAGCTGCAACTCAGGCAGCCCCTCTGCCAGGGTGACAGCCCATGGTCCCTGGAGGGTGGTAGGTTCTGTCAGTGGCATGGCAGGTTTAATGAGGACCCCGTCCTATACTCTTTTGTCCTGGGACCCAGCCTGGCCCTGGCCTTCTTCCCAATCCCCACCTGACACTAAGCCTGCCTGCCCACTTCCTCACAGCCCACTCCAGCAAGCCGACGACTATCCTTACGAAACTCCCAGAAGCAGAGCCACTCTGTAGAGCCTACACCCCTGGGGGACACTCTACCACCAGTCAGCACCCCACATGCTCACAGGTAGGCTCCCCAAAGTGAAGGAGCATGACACTCCTCAAAATGCAGTCTCTGATGTAGGTATGCTGCCACCAGGTGGTGGCAAGTGCCTCATTCAAGTGGTTCAAATTAGAACTGAGCTTTCATTTTAACTTTATAGAGAAAATTTCAAAAGTCACATGTAAATTTACTACCCTGATACATCAGCTCTTTTCACATCTCCATGTTCATGTTTTAGAATAAAGGCTAGAAACTTGATAAACCACTGAACTTGAATGGTTTCAGCAAACACTGTCATCCCTTGAGGCTGTTGGGACTGATGTTGGCCCAGCCTGTGGTAGAACCAGAAAAGCAGAGAGGACAAGCGCACCTGGCACCAGGAGAGCCCTGTTTTTCCTTGCCTCCCACCTCCTTACTGTCCCTGCCTGGGCAGCTCAGTTACCCTACCAGACTCCAGGATTCCGTTTCAGAGGATGAAGGGCCAGAAATCCTTATTTTAAACAAGTGTAAACAAGCATTGCCCCCACTTCCCCCATGTTGTCACCTGGTACTCACAGTCCCAAGCTGAGGACCACACACCATTTTTTTTTTTTTTGAGACAAATTCTTATTTTGTTGTCCTCGGTAGAGTGCTGTGGCATCATAGCTCACAGCAACCTCAAACTCCTGGGCTCAAGTGATTCTCTTCCCTCAGCCTCCCAAGTAGCTGGGACTACAGGCACCCACCACAATGCCCAGCTATTTTTTAGAGATGGTGTCTCGCTCTGGCTCAGGCTGGTCTTGAACCCATGAGCTCAGGTAATCCACCACGTGGGTCACCCAAGTGCTAGGATTACAGGTGTGAGCCACCTCACCAGCCAACTTTTTTTTTTTTTTTTGAGACAGAGTCTCACTTTGTCACCCTTGGTAGAGTGCCATGTCATCACATATCACAGCAACCTTCAACTCCTGGGCTTATTCTCTTGCCTCAGCATCCCGAGTAGCTGGGACTATAGGCGCCCACCACAACGCCAGGCTATTTTTAGAAAAGAGGTCTTGCTCTAGCTCAGGTTGGTGTCAAACCTGTGAGCTTAGGCAATCCTCCCGCCTCAGCCTCCCAGATTTCTGGGATTATAGGGGTGAGCCACCGTACTTGGCCAACATTTCTCCCTTTGATTTCCAGCCCCTGTTCCATCCACCTTGGCCCAGTCCTGATAGCCCCTGCCCCCTCACCTTTCCTGTGCACCTGGACAGGAAGCTGCCCTGATGGCCAGGATCAGACTGACCAAAAGGGACAACCCTGCTCTGTGCTAAAGCCAGGACCCCCATCCAGAGCTGGGCATTGTGCCTCTGCAGGGCCACGTGAGGTCCAGAGGAGCTGTGGCTCTGAAGTTGTCCTGGCCTTCACTGGTCAGCATAGGAAGGCCATGACCCAAGCCCATGCCTGGGAACCAGGCTGGAGACCCCTGAGGGTGCCTGGACTGCCAGCCTCACCATGGCTCTTTGTCCCACGCACCGCTGCTCACCCCACCTCCACACAGGGCTCCGCTCTGGGGCTGTCACAGTTTCCATTTCTGGCTGAGGAACCACAGCCTCTCTCTGTTGAGACCTGGAGAGTGGAACGGAGACAGAGCTGCACCTGGGAAGCTGCTGCCCCCAGCTCCTGCCAGGTCCAGGAGACCCCAGCCCAGCCCTGGACCTCAGTTTCTGCCATTCCTTGCAGAGGCTACCAGCCAACACCAGCCATGGCCAAGTATGTCAGAGTCCTCTACGACTTCACAGCCCGCAATGCCAATGAGCTGTCGGTGCTCAAGGATGAGGTCCTAGAGGTGAGAAGGTAGCAGCGAGGGGCTCCCCAGGGGAGGAGGCACTGCCTAGGGGAGAGAGGGGCTCCCCAGGGGAGGAGGCGCTGCCCAGGGGAGGGGGCTGCCCAGGGGAGAGAGGGCTGCCCAGGGGAGAGAGGGGCTGCCCAGAGGAGAGTACTGCCTAAGGGAGAGGACTGCCCAGGGGAGGGGGGCACTGCTGGGGGGAGGATTGGTGAGAAGCTGGTCCTAAGGGGCAGGAGGGGAACCTGTCGGTGTGGGTGAGGGGCAGCAGTGTGGGTGAGGGGCGGCAGCAGCTGGGGTCCTGAGGGAGGAGCTGCCAGGGGACAGAGGAGCAAGCAACTGGGGCCAGGCCCTGTGACATCACAACATGGCCTAGCTGTGGGCCCCTGTCTGCAGGGTCTTCACCCCAGGCTTCTATCAGGACCCAAAGGCCTTCCCTGCCCCCAGCAGACTTGCTGAGGATCTCCCTGTCTTAGGGATCCCCAGGGCATTTAGGGAGCCCTGTGCAGGGCTAGGCTCGGTGGTGGGCAGTGCCTGCATCAAGTGGGGGACCCCTCAGTGGAACCCAGCAGACTTGTCATTCACACCCTCCCCCAGGAGCACAGCACAGGCTGCTTTGTGCCAAGCTGAATCCAGGCCACCCACTGGGGGACCAAAGTGGCACAGACGCGGGGGGTGGGGGGTCCTACGTCCACAACCAGGTTATGAGGCCCCTACTCCAGGACCCGCTGAGGCAGGGAGGGCCAAGGTCCTGGGCCTAACGCGGCCGCCCTGCAGGTGCTGGAGGACGGGCGACAGTGGTGGAAGCTACGCAGCCGCAGCGGCCAGGCAGGCTACGTGCCCTGCAACATGCTGGCCGAGGCGCGACCCGAGGACGCCGGCGCCCCCTTCGAGCAGGTGGGACTGCATTGTTCTGGCGCGGGGGGCCTGGGCGGGGAGAAGCCCGGCAAGCCCAACTCCCAGGAGGAAGGAGTGGGGCGGGGCATGGGCTGTGGTCCTAGGAGGGTGAGGAGCGGAAGCTGACAGCCCCCGCCCCGCAGGCCGGTTCGAAATACTGGGGCCCCGCCAGCCCGACCCACAAGCTGCCCGCAACCTTCGCTGGGAACAAGGACGGTGAGAGGCTGGTCCGGCGGGGCGGGAGGGGAACCCCAGTCGGGGCGGGCGAGGGGCGGCGGCAGCTGCGGTCCTGAGCCGCGCGCCGCCCCCAGAGCTGATCCAGTACATGGATGAGGTCAACGACGAGCTGGTCAAGAAGATCAGCCAAGTCAAGGCGCAGCCGCAGCGGCACTTCCGCGTGGAGCGGCCGCCGCCCGTGCACCTGCCGCTGTCCTACGAGTCCGGCCCCAGCGAGGTCCGCGCCTGGCTGGAAGCCAAGGCCTTCAGCCCGCGGTGAGCGGCTGGCCCAGGCGGGGAGTGGCGCGCAGGGGACATCGGGGCCACCCTACAGCTCCCTCACTCCGCTCCCCGCAGGATCGTGGAGAACCTGGGCGTCCTGACCGGGCCTCAGCTCTTCTCGCTCAACAAGGACGAGCTGCGGAAGGTGTGCGGGGAGGAGGGCGTCCGCGTGTACAGCCAGCTCACTGTGCAGAAGGCAGTTCTGGAGGTGAGAGGAGGCCCCCCTGTGGCTGAGGTCCCGGGAGGAGGGGCCCCTAGGCTGAGGCTGCCCCCTCTGGCCTCCCTAGAAGCAGCAAAGCGGGTCCGAGCTGGAAGAACTCATGAGCAAGTTTCATTCCAAGAACCAGAGGAGGGTGGAGGACAGCTAGACCTGGCTGCACCGGGCTACCACACCTGCAGGAGGGGAGCCCGCCCCCCCCCCCCGCTGTGGCCCCTCGATGCATGGAGTATTATTTTTGTACGTGTATGTATTTTGTACCAAGGACACTGATTGGGTGTGGTGCTGGGTGCCCCCCCCCCACCTGGCTGGAGGCACATGGCCTGTCCTCAGGCTCACTGCCCCAGCTCACACCAAGGCCGACCTCAGCCAAACCTGTGACCCATGGTGCCAGCCCCTGATCTGCCTGCCTTGAGGCCACAAGACTCCCCAGAAGGGGTGGGGCCTCATCCTCTGGTCACCCCTGTGATGTCCCCTGTCTTCACCTGCCTCCACATCTTCACCTGTACTCAATTGCATCTCCCTGCCCCAGGGTGGGCCAAAGCGCCATTCTGGCCAGTTGTTAACCTGGCCTCCAAATGTACCCAGCACACCCACCCATTGGGCTGCTCCCCAAGGGTGCCCTGGGAGGGGCTCCGGGACAGGGGGCCCAGGGGGCCACGCTGGGCTGGACACATGTGATATTCCTCACCCTGTCAAGGACAGAACATGCCCTGGACACAGTGCTGGCTTCCAACACCCCCTGCCTCCCAGTCCCACAGAACCCACAATAGGTACTTTCTCTGACCAAGTCCCAGGCCAACTGAGCACTGCACTGATTGTGGGGGGGCTGGATGTCTTGAAGCTCTGGACTGATAGGCGAGAGGTGGCCAGGGCTCCAAGGCTGGGACATTAAACCAATTCAGTCTCTGAGCAGCTGTGTAATTCTTTCTCCTGGGGGTGGGGGTGGGTCCTGGAGCCCGCAGAAACTGTGCCTTTTCTTTCTTTTTTTTTTTTTTTTTTGAGACAGAGTCTCACTTTGTTGCCTTTGGTAGAGTGCCCTGGCATCATGGCATCATAGCTCACAGAAACCTCTAACTCTTGGGCTCAAGAGACCCTCTTGCCTCAGCCTCCTGTGTAGCTGGGATTATAGGTACCCACCACAACACCAGGCTATTTTTAGAAATGGGGTCTCGCTCTTACTCAGGCTGGTCTTGAACTCGTGAGCTCAGGCAATCCACCCTCTCAGTCTCCCAAAGTCCTGGGATTCCAGACATGAGCCACCGTGCCTGGTCCAACTGTGCCTTTTCTAAGAGGTATGGGGCAGAGGGTAGGCCATGGCCAGGCTGGACGTGGACATTACAAGGAAAGCCACTCACCCCCCGAGGCCCAAGGAGTGCCCAGAAGGCATCTTCCTGCACATCCATCCAAGAGGGCCTGGAGCATTCTGTGGGCACAGGGCAGAGGCCCTGCCCACTCCTCTCCCTGTGGCCCTCCAGGGCCAAATGTCCAGAAGTCTCAAAGCTTGTCTCCCAAGACTGGCTTTCACTGGGCACTTACCCAAGTGAGTGGAATGGAGCTCAGCTAGACCTCAGGGCAGGTCCAGGAGGGAGCCACGTCAGGGGGCAAGGCCAAGATGGTATTCAACAAAAGGAAGGCACAGGGCATGGGGGACCCCAGTGAGTGTCAATGGATTGCATCAGTGGCCACCCTGTGCCCTCACTGTGAGAGTCATTTGACCACCTGTTGGGTGCCCCCCTGGGCGCACACCTGAGCCTCACACTCTGGGAGGAACCTTGGTGCTCTCTGCTGATGGCCGCCAAGAGGGTGTCCTGGCACCAGACCAGGTTGAGGGAGTAGAACCATCAGTGGACCCAGCCCTGGAGTATCCGGGGGCCAGTCCTAGGGTTTTGGCTTGGTGGGCAAGAGCAACTGTGGGAATAGGCTATGGATAACGTGTCCCTTGCCTAGTGTACTATTGAGCCAGGCCTGTCTCTGAGGCCCTAGAAGTTCCTGACTCAGCTCAAGGGGAGCTGGGGGGTGTCTGATGCTCTCTGAGCCATGATCCAGGGTTGGCAACAGCCAACTCTCCCCCAGGCTGGAAAAGGGTCCACCTTCTCCCTTGGGTGGACCCCTCAGATAGGGACACAGGCCCAGGAGGAACAGGGGAACGATGAGGATGACAGCCCTCCCTCCCTGCCACCCTCAAATCAGGCTAGTCTGGATCCAGTAATCATCAGAGAGGAGACAGGTGCCCTACATGGCTGAGCCCCTCTCTCAGGGCAGGGATGGGTTTGGGGCTCCATCTCCTCCCAAGGGCCCTCTGCTGGCCCAAGGATGACTGACCTTGGAGGTTAGAGAAGACCATCCCCCAGCCCCAGGTGCTCCCTGACACCTCCTGTTCATCCCACCAGCTGGTTTCACCTTCACCAGGATCGCCTGGACTGCTGATGCTGCCTCCAGGCTGGGTCACTCAGCTCTTGGGAGCACCAGACCTATACCTGCTTTCCTTGCCAGCTCCACCCTGCCCCCCTTCCCCATCCACAGGCTACCACCCTGGGCTCCCAAGGCCTCCTAGGCCCTAGAAAACCAGGCCCTCAGACCTTAGGACCCAAGACCTCTAGACCTCAGAACTTTAGACCCCTAGACCCAAGAATCCCAAACCCTAGCCCCCCATATTCCCAGCTCCCAGACGCCAAGCTGGCTTTCACCCCTAGAAGCTACTTGTTCTGAGGTGCCCAACTATCTTCTTCAGGCCTCTGGACTTCCAGAAATTATCTGTTTCTTCCAAGGGGCTTCCCACCACCTCCTGAGACTCTCTCAAGAGCAGGACAGGGCCACCAACCCCATCTGCTCAATGCTGGACCCAAGGTCACACAGCATCAGGGCAGCTGCTGTGTCCTCCCTTGGCTGCATACCCCAGATGTGAGAAATATTCCATTTGCCACCCCCAAGAGCATCACCCCTGCAGACAGGAGTGACAGATTATAACCTTCCTGCACTGAGCACTGCCATTCCCAATCCCAGCGGCCCTGGCCATGGCCTACAGCACAAGCAGAAGTAGAGGAGGCCCAGAGGGGCTAAGTCACCTGCTCAAGCCCAGAGCTGGGGCAAGATGTAATTTTGCTGGGCTGGGTGAGGTGGCTCACACCTGTAATCCCAGCCAGCACTTTGGGAGGCTAAAGTGGGAGGATTGCTTTAAGCCAAGAGTTTGAGACCAGCTTGGGCAATATACCAAGACAGAGTCTACGCAAAAAATAAAAAAAGCTGAATGCACTCGAGGCTGCAGCAAGCTGATTGTGCACTGCACCCTAGCCTGAGTAACAGAGTGAGACCCTGCTCAAAAATATATATATATATAATTCCAATATCTCCTAACCACTCACATCCTGGCCTCCCTCCTCCACCAGACAGGTCAGCAGGAAAGAGGGAGGAGCCTGGAGACCTCGTGGAGGGTGGCCTGAGCTGCATGCCCTGCATCCCCTCCACTAGTGGGGCTGCCAGTGGCCACTGCTCTGCAATCCAGCTGTGCCAGCAAATACCTCCACAAACAGGCCCATCTCTGTCTTGGGGACAAGCATGTCTTTGTGGCTCTGACTGTCCTCCTTCCCTCCCTACAGCTGACTTGGCCACCCGCGCCCACTCAGACCAAGCCAGCACCTAAGAGGGGCTTCCCAAGCCATTTAGGAAAGGCTGTTTCTCTTCCTTGTAAAAAAAAAAAATGTATACAATATAGTTGATTTACCAAGAAGTTGGCACAATGATTCAGACCATTGACCCCAGCACAGGTGCACCTGTGACATGTAACATCAGGGGTAAAACTACTGAGTTCACAGAAGAAAACCCAGAGGGTACCTTTCTGATAAAGTGGAGAGGGGGATTTCTGCACAGGACTTCAAAAAGGAGTGGAAGAATTTGGTTTCATCTGAATGAAAGACTTGGTCACACCTGTAATCCCAGTATTCTGGGAGGCTGAAGCAGGTGGATTGCTTGAGCTTCTGAGTTTGAGACCAGCCTGAGCAAGAGCAAAACCTCATCTCTACTTGGAATGGCTAACAGTACACAAGCAAGCTAACACCCAAGACAGCAGCTATCTAGGCAGAAACCACGCTCCTGGGGGCTGCAAGCTCTGAACTATTTTCTTTTTCTTTTCTTTTCTTTTTTTTTTTTTGAGACAGAGCCTCAAGCTATCCCCCTAGGTAGAGTACCGTGGCATCACAGCTCACAGCAACCTCCAATTCCTGGGCTCAAGCGAGTCTCCTGCCTCTGCCTCCCAAGTAGCTGGGAACACAGGCGTCCGCCACAACTATTTTTTGGTTGCAGCCATCATTGTTATTTGGCGGGCCCGGGCTGGATTCGAACCCGCCACCTTAGGTGTATGTGGCTGGTGCCTTAGCCACTTGAGCCACAGGCGCCGAGCCTCTGAACTATTTTCATAAAAAGACTGAGAAGTGTATTAGAGGCTGAATTGTGTTCCCTACAAATTTATGTTGCAATCCTAACTGGAAATTCCTCAGATTGTTCCCTTCATCAGAAACTGGGTCACTGCAGATGTAATCAGTTAAGATGAGGTCACCTTGGGATAGGGTGGGACCAAATAAATCAAAAGGGGAAGTTTGGACACACATGGAGAATGCCGTGTGGATGCAAAGGCAGAGGAGGAGGATACACACCCACAGCGGCAACAGCCCCAGGGCCTGTGGCAGACCCTCACAGCCTCGGAGGAGACCCGTCTGCTGGCACGTGGACCTCAGCCTTCCAGCCTCTAGAACTGGGACTATACATTTCCACAAATCTCTGCAGTCTAAACCTACAGTCTGTGCCCTGTTAGGAACCAGGCTGCACAGCAGGAGGTGAGGAGGAAGGAAGCTTCATCTATGTTCACAGAGGCTCCCCAGGGCTCCCCTCACTCTAATCCCATGTCACTAGAGTCTGGCAGGAGGGCCAACCCTGCTGTAAACCAGCAGCCAGTTCTAGGTTGTGGCTCCTTAGGAGCATCTACAGCCTGGCCCTCTGAGGTGGGCCTGCCAGGGTGCTGGCACTGTCATTAGCAGAGGGCTGACTGCAAAGAGACCCTAACTCCACTGTTTGCAGACTCACATCAAAACCTCCTCCCTACCCGGCTGTGGAAAAATTATCCTCCATGAAACCAGTCCCTGGTGCCAGAAAGACTGGGGATGACTGGTCTAAACCATCTAGTCTATAGTGCTTGGTCATGGCAGTCCCAGGAAGCTGATACAAAGTCACCTGTGTTTGTGTTATGCTCATGCAAGCTTGTCTGCGAGGCCCACTGGCCACTCACTCTCCTTCCACATCCAGCACCCACAGGGTAAGGAGTGCCCAGGATTGTGAGCCTTGGTGTCCCCAGCACCTGCAGTGCCTCTCTGCCCCCACCAGTCTAAGGAGGAGCCCTGAGCCCTGCTCCAGCTGGCCGAGTGGTCAGGTTGCTGGAAAGAATGACATGCGGGGGAGGTGATTTGTTCAGAACCCAACACATGGGAGGCATTTTTTCCAAAAGGAATGAAGTGAAAGCAAACGATGACCTTCGTTACTGCAATAAATCTGTGCTTTCAGGAATTTGAGGGACCACCCTGGTGAGCAGGCAGGTCCCCACCACCAGGACCTGAGCTCGGTCGGGAATTGTGTGTTCCCCACACTCTGGGGTGCAGCACACTCCTGGCAACTTCCAGTGACAGATGCAGGATATCACCACTCACGCTGGGGCCAAAGCGCAGTACACAGAAGGCCCAGGATTATTCAGAAAGGCCATCAAAGTTCTCCTCCCTCTTCCAGTCACAAATCTGGGTTAGGGAATTCTCCTCACATACTTCACCCAAGAGAGGAGGCAGCTGGCACCCTGCTTCAGAGCCCGGCACCAGGAACGTGCACCACAGTGTGTGGTGACGCCACTCTCCCCATAGTCTCTGTTTAAAAAGTATGTAGGGCGGCACCTGTAACTCAGTGAGTAGGGCACTGGCCCCATATACCGAGGGTGGCAGGTTCAAACCCAGCCTTGGCCAAACTGCAACAAAAAATCAGCCGGGTGTTATGGCGGGTGCCTGTAGTCCCAGCTACTTGGAAGGCTGAGGCAAGATAATTGCCTAAGCCCAGGAGCTGGAGGTTGCTTTGAGCTGTGTTGCCACAGCACTCTACCGAGGGTGACAAAGCAAGACTCTGTCTCTAAAAAAAAAAAAAAGGTATGTAATTAGGCTGGGCGCGGGTGCAGTGGCTCATGCCTGTATTCCCAGCACTCTGGGAGGTTGAGGCAGGAGGATCCCTTGAGCTCAAGATCAGTCTAAGCAAGAGCAAAACCCCGTGTCAATAATAGAAAAACTAACCAGGTGTTGTAGAAGGCATCTATAATCCCAGCTACTTGGGAGGCTGAGGCAGGAGGATCACCTGAACCCAAGACTTTGAGGTTGCTGTGAAATATGATGCTATGCACTCCACCCAGAGTGACAGAGTGAGACTTAGTCTCAAAAATAATAATAATAATTTAATAATAATACTTTTTAAAAGTGTATAATGGTGGCATGAGGTCCAAAAGTTTCAGAATTGCTAATACAGGTTTTGCAAATCAGCAGGGAAAAGCCAGTAATCCCAGCAGGAAAGTGGGCAGAACTGTGGAAACCACAGATCTAGCAAGCCCTTGAGCACTGGACAAGGGAGGGAAGTCGGTTCTCACCTGCCACACCAGCAGACAGGGGAGGGAGCAGTGGATCCCAGAATTGACTTGTGCTCAGCCTTGCTCTGGGGTGTGCCCTGCAAACCCTCCCACAGGTCCACAGGGGATGTGGGGTAGCAGGAGGACACCACTGTGGAATTGGGTAGGGAGAGAGACAAGAGGGGTAGGTCCCATGGGGAGCATCCTGGAAGGACTCACAGCAACACCACGCCTGTTGAAGAAAGGGAGTGAACATGAGACAGCATGAGTTAAAATATACATTTAGGAAAAAGAAAGATGGCTCACACCATCTTTCCAAGTAATCCCAGCACTTGGAAGGCCAAGGCAGGTGTTCACAGGTTCCAGAACCAGCCTGAGCCAGAGCCAGACCCGTCTCTAAAATAGCTGGGTGTTGGCTTGGCACCTGTGGCTCAAGCAGCTAAGGCTCCAGCCACATACACCTGAGCTGGCGGGTTCAAATCCAGCCTGGGGCCAAACAACAATGACAGCTGCAACCAAAAAATAGCCAGGCATTGTGGTGGGCGCCTATAGTCCTAGCTACTTGGGAGGCTGAGGCAGGAGAATCACTTGAGCCCAGGAGTTGGAGGTTGCTATGAGCTGTGATGCCATGGTACTCTACCCAGGGCAACAACTTGAGGCTCTGTCTCCAAAAAAAAAAAAAAGCTGGGTGTTGTGGCGGATGCCTGTAGTACCAACTACTACTCAGGAGGCTGAGGCAAGAGGATCACTTGAGCCTAGGATTTTGAGGTCGCTGTGAGCTGTGACACTATAGCACTCTACCAAGGGCGACAAGGGAGACTCTGTCTCAAAAAAAAAAAAAAAAAAAGGAAAAAGGAAGCAATAAAATTTTAGAATAAACATGCATTTTACAAGAACCTGTACAAACGAAAGGACTTAGGAGAGTTATTTAGGGCCAGGGAATGGATCTAAAAGAGAATACTATGTAAATAAAAGAGAACAAGTGATAGGTACACTCAAAGCACGGCCCTCTGGACAGCCAAATACCAGCCACACTGTGACATCAGAGCCCCCATGTCCCCTCCCCAATCTCATCCCCAAAAGTAATTGCTATCAGGAATTTGGGGTTCATCGTTGCAATGGACAAATTGGTATTTTTATAGCATGCAAATGTCTACTGAAACATTACATGGGCAGCCCTCTGCACACCCACTCCACATCCACAGATTCAACCATCACGGACTGAGAGTAGTCAAGACATTTGAAAAAACAAAAAGCAATACAAATTATTTTTTTAGTCCCCTGAGGGGGTGCACCATTCCTGGAGTACTTTAATACCAGATAGGTAAGTGGAGTGGATGGAGCAAGCTCCTATTCCAACTTCCTGCTCCAAAAATCCATTTAATATATTGTCCTTGGATAGAGGACATATCAGATGTTAAACTGATAAGAACAGATAGTACACTTGATCTTATCCACCAGGTCAAGAAGCGATACAACACAAATTTGTTTAAATCCAGTATATGAACTATTTTCCAAGCATTTACCTCGTCTTGGGCAGTATAAGTAATCCAGAGATAATTTAAATGATATGAGAAGATGTATGTAGGTTCTATGCAAATTCTGTGCCATTTTATAGAAGGAACTTCTGTGCCTTCTGACTTTGCTATCCAAGGGGTGTCCTGACACCAATCCCTCGCCTCACCACACCAAGGCGCTGTGGTGTTTGAACAAGACTCATCTGCCCTACCCCAAAGCTTTGAATAACACAGGTGCCTGACCACAAAGCCACCAGCCCAGCCCTCAGGTGACAGGTGGCCTGACCACAGCTCAGGAGGTCCCAGGCCACAGCCAGCCTGGTGAACTGTCCCTGTATTCTTTTTTTTTTTTTTTT